GCTTCCAACAGGTCACAAAACCATCTCACGGGAATCAGCTTTGGGGTTCCTGCTTTGGTGTAGTACCCTTTATAACACAGCAGAAGTGTCCCAAGAAGTGGGTGGGGTTTTAATAGGCAGGTCCTTCTCACTGCTGAGCCTTCTTGGCATCTGGGGGATTCAGTGGAAATTCTCCACTTTTTGTTTTTAGGGTTTTTTTTTTTTTTAAGAAAAATGTATTTTATTTAGTTATATCTGAAAACCAGATATTACTAGTTCAGGCCAGCCTCATTTCTGCCTTACTCTTCCCAATCCCGAAACCACACACATGTGCGCTACCACATCTAGTTCTCTTGTGGGTTTTTGTTTATTCTTGTCACATTTGTGTATGAAGAGGGGGGGGGGGGGGCAGAAGTAGGAGCATCTTTAGGAAAAGGTGATTACACGTACAAGTTGAAAAATATTTAAGCCAGCCAGCCAGGCAGTGTTGATGCATGCCTTTAATCCTAGTACTCGGGAGTCAGAGGCAAGCAGAGTTTGAGGCCAGCCTGGTCTACGGAGCAAGTCTCAGGACAACCAAGGCTACACAGAGGAACCCTGTCTGGGAAAAGAAGAGCAAGAAATGTTTTAAATCAGTAAGTTTCAGAACTATGAGACCTAAAATAACATTTTTTTTTCCACCTCTTAAAATAGGGTCTCCAGAACTCTGTAGCCCAGGCTGGCCTGGTACTCATTGTATAGACCAGGCTAGTTTTGAATTTTAGGTTGCTTTGCCTGTGGCATCTAAGTGCTGGGATTATAGTGTGTGACCACACCCAGCCTGGGAAGTTTATTCCTCTAGCTCAGTGCTTCTCAGCCTGGGGCTCACCTAAGACCACTGGAAAGCATATTTACATTAAAATTCATAACAATAGGGCTGGAGAGATGGCTCAGCGGTTAAGAGCACTGACTGCTCTTCCAGAGGTCCTAAGTTCAATTCCCAGCAACCACATGGTGGCTCACAACCATCTGTAATGAGGTCTGGTGTCCTCTTCTGGCCTACAGGCAGGATACTGTATAAATAAACAAATAAATCTTTAAAAAAAATTCATAACAATAGCAAAAGTATAGCAATGAGGTAGCAATGAAAATTTTTTTATGGTTGGGAATCACCACAGCAAGGGGAATTGTATTAAAGTGTCCAGCGTTAGGGAGACAGAACTACTGTGAATCTAACTGTTTTGAGCTAATTCAGATGCTACCGCAGAATGTTAATCACACAGCACTTTATGATCTGAAAGTTCAAGGTTCTTTAAGCATCATGGATCTGTAAAACATGCCCTTATTTTCTAAAGAGAACATGGGGACTTGGATGATCAGGTAGAAGATTAGGGTGGCAATGGTTTATCTCAAGTCTCCTGGCTTCATGACTCATTGCTCTGCTTGTTACCATAAGAAAAGCTGACTTGGGAAAACTGCCCTCTCCAGTACAGATGTGGAGTTTGGAAACAATCCAGTACCATTTAGAGTTAGAACAAATGAGCTTTGAAAAGTGAGCACATAGGAAATCCGCTGAGGCTGGAGTAGGCAGTGTTGGTGGCTGTATTGGTCAAGACAGAGTTTATGAGGTTGTCTGGGATATTCCGTATAAAGTAGGCATCGACTGCAGAGATCTAGTTAAGGCCGATCACATCATCTAAGGGACAGGTTTGAGCCCCGGCCTTCAGCATAATAGGATCTTTTAAATCTGAACTTTAACTCAGTGGTAAAGCATGGCAAGATGAAGGCTCCTGCTATCAAAGATGACAGGCTTATCTTAGTGCATAGGTGGAAGGATGGTCAGACACCGAAATAGCTCTATAACATAGAGTTAGTTTCCCCACCTCGTGGGCCTAGCCTGTAACAACAGAGCCATCTTCCAGCCTTAACCCGTTGTTTGAGATGGGATCTCTATAGCCGTGCCAGTTCTGGAACTCTGCATAGACCAAGCTGGCCTCAAACTCAGAGGTCCTGCTGCCTCTGCCTCTTTGCTGGGATTAAAGGTATGTACCACACCTGGTTTATGGTTACGATTTTTAAGGATGGAGGACATGGATTGAACCAGTGGTAGTGAGCTTTGTATGACGCTGGGAACTGAAAAGACTGCAAACTTAAAGGTTGTGGGATGAGACTGGCAAGTGAGGCAGAGATGTGGGCCTTTGTGAGTGAGCAGATTGGCGGGACATCGGAGACCAAGCTTCGGGGTATAGGCTGCCTGAGGAGTCAGTTCTGTTCGTTTTACTGTGGGGATGAAACTCAGACCAGTACACGATTGTTTAGGTCAGAGAACAGTGTGGGACTAAAGATGTAGAGTAATTTAATGGTACATGACAAAAAAAGCTGATTATACTAGTAGGTAGAGGATTATTTTCAGTTTTGATTAAAGACTTAAATATACGGGTTACAAAACCCCCAGAATGTCAAATACAAAAATGTCAGCTTTACTGTCCATGTTTAGTTCTACCTTTGTTTTCACACACACATCCTATTGAAGCATGTGCTAGTGTAGTGTTAGGTATTACACTTTTAAATTTTTATTTATTTATTTAGGACTGTGTTCTTTGTCACTCTGGCTGGCCTAGATAGAACTCACTGTGTACATTAGGTTGATCTTGAATTCACAGAGGTCACTTGCTACCTCTTCCTGGGTGCAGGGACTAAAGATTCCACTATACTTGAGTGTAGAATACCAAAGGTGCATATCACCATGGCAGCTATCTAAGGCTGGAGAGATGGCTCAGTGGTTAAGAGCACTGCCTGCTCTTCCAAAGGTCCTGAGTTCAATTCCCAGCAACCACATGGTGGCTCACAACCACCTGAAATGAGATCTGGTGCTCTCTTAATGGCCTGCAGGCATACATGCAGACAGACCACTGTATACTTAATAAATAAATCTTTAAAAAAAAAACAAAACTATCCAATCAGTAAAATAAGAAAAGAGTAGAATTTGTAGAGAAAAGGATTCAAGTTGTTTTTCTTTGGTTAAGGTCACACTGGGGGTTGGAGCCTAGGCTACACAGTGAAATTATCTCAGAAACAAGATGTTCTGGTAGTTCATTGTGCCTTTCCCTCTTTCAAATACAATGTTTTACCAGTTACTGATGAGTGAACCCAGGGCTTTGCATGCTAGGCAAGCACTCTACCACTGAGGTACACCCGTTAACCCCCTCCAAAATTGACGTTTAGAAGTATATAGTTAGAAAACTATTCCCCTGCTTCTAACTGTTTTGTGTATACCACTCAGCTTCCATGGTGATATGCACCTTTGGAATTCTAAGACTGTGTCCTTGGCAAGTAAAGAGTTAGCCCTTGGACTGTAGGGCCCTTGAAATGTCTGTTAGTGCAGCTTGGCATCATAATTGGTTGGAAAGGCAAGGATGTTGTTACCTCTGATGTTCGTGGCTATCTGGTGCTTTGCAGCTAATGTGCCCAGTTCTCTTAGACACTCTCCTACCCCATTTCCTAAGTGCTGTGGGTCATAGTAATCTGACAAACCTTCTGCCCTGCCAGGTAAATTCTACTTCTACAGAGTAGACTTAGAAGTACCAAGACTGCTCCCTGGTTGGTAATATTTTTGGCATCAGAAATGTAGGCAAGTGGCTCACAATTTTGGCTGCTAGCATCATTTGGGAGGCTTTTTACAAAATTCATACGATCTAGACCCCTTTTCAGATATTCTGAGATCTGATGTGTAATGGGGCCAATAGCTTTCTTTTACAAGTCAGGTGGGTTCTTAGAAATCCCAAGGAGAATGGGGTGTGCTGCCAGCACTGAGATACTCTAAAGAGAGGTTCTGCATGCTTACTCTTTTGTTTTCACTGCAGGCCTCTGTTGGCTAAAAGAATGTGGGCATTTCCACATGCTATCCTGGAGAACTTAACTGAGGATATCAAACCTTCATATTTGCCACAGATAGTGATCTCTTCTGCTAAACCAGATTATCTTTCTTTTTTAAAGATTTATTTATTTATATGTATACAACATTCTGCCTCGATGTATGCCCGCTTGCCAGAGGAGGGCGCAAGATCTCAATACAGATGGTTGTGAGCCACCATGTGGTTGCTGGGAATTGAACTCAGGACCTCTGGAAGAGCAGCCAGTGCTCTTAACCTCTGAGCCATCTCTCCAGCCCTAAACCAGATTATCTTGATTGACCTCTAGTCTCTCATTCCTTGGGGTACTGGTTGCCAGCCTTTTTAAACCTGTTTTTTTGGTGCCCAGTTTGGTGAGCTGTATAACCCATTTGAAGTTAAATGTTTTAAAATACATAGAAGAAAATGTATACCATTACTTCAAGTTGCATTCAAGTGCGGCTATCAGAATTTCAGAGTGTATAATAATGTATCACTTATTCATAACAGTGGGGGTGTAGTCATGACCTTAATTTTAAAGCAGTAATAAATGGAGATAGTAAGAAAAGATGCTGGCGCTGGGATTGTAGCTCCATTGGTAGAGTGCTTGCCTAGTGTACACAGAGCCTGAGTTCTTCTCCAGCAGCAGCACATAACCTGGATGTGCTGGTGCATGCTGTCATCCCCGCACTCAGGAGGTGGAGACAGCAGGCTCAGACGCGGGTCATCCTCCGCTACACACTGGACCATGGTCAGCTGTGGTTACATGGAACCATCTCAAGTCTACCATCACCAACAGAACTATAATGTATTATGAAGCAGCTGGTTTGTGTTGGAGACAGAGTCCCAGTTTACTGATAATGCTGCAATGGTTTATTGCCAGCAGTCACAGAAAAGGATTTGAAGTTTCAATTTAAGGAAACATAATATTTTGATACAAAGTAGTGTTGTTTCATTATGTTGTTTTCATGCATGGATTTAATACACTTTTATTCAACCCCTCTATTGCCTCTGTAGCCTTTTTGACTAAAACTCACAGTGGAATGTTCTTTTATTTGGCATTAACTGAATAATACACTCTCTGCAGAGATCAGTAGAACCCTAGATTGCTTTTTCATCATGAAAGCTAACAAGAATGGTTTGTCTTTGCAGGAATATAAGCGCAAGTTAGCCAGAGTTTCCCTGGTTCGCAAAGAACTCAGAGCCCGGATCCAGAGCCTGCCAGACTTATCTCGATTGCCCAATGTCACTGGCAGTCATGTGCACCTGCCCTTTGCTGGGGACATCTACAGTGAAGATTGATGACCAGTCTCTTCCAAAGCCAGGACTTTGCCAGACGTGGAGACAGGTTAGGTGAATAGTCCTGCAGAGTTATTTTTGTACGTTTTCAGAGAATGGTACAAGAAATGACAAGGAATTATAAAATGGTTTAAATGTTGGTTTGTTTACTCTTTTATTAGTGAGTTAACATGACTTAGTTAAACCAAGTGATTCTGTGTATTAATGAGCCTAATAGTGCTTATTTTCAAAAGATCTTTTGTAAGTTTTGTTTTTTTAATGTTTTTGAGGCCTTGTGAGAAATTCCATGTTTCTGTTTCTTCATGTATTTTCAATTGTTTTTCTTTATTTTTTTTCAGTATCTAATCACTGTACACTACCTAATTCCTAAGAGAAGAACTGATCAAGAGCTGATGTGAGACTGTATTATGGTATTGTTAGGACTTGATTATAGAAGAGACTAAATGTTTCCACCTCACCTTTACCCTTCTTACCACCCAAATATTGCTTCTCTGTGTCCTCATGCCTTTGAATTTTTTATTTCCTAGAGGTCAGTAACTTAACCCTAGGCATGGGTGTCACATGGAGGGTCAGATTACAGCCTATGGAGCGTTTTTCCATAGCACTGCAGTAACTCCACCCCGAAGGCCAGCCCAGGATAAAGGCCTGCTCAGTAGACTCCCTTGATTACACTGTAGAGCTAAGTGCATTCAGTGCTTTGAGGACGATTTAAGTTTTGACGTCCTACCAAGAGTACAGCTGACTGCTTCTGTCAGATCAGTCATCATGTGTCATTGGTCCCTTTAACAGAACACCAGCCGTGGGGAGTAAAGGAAACTTCAGAAAGTGACATGCTTATTCCCTCGTCCATATAATGTAAAATAGCACTTAGCTTAAGTAGCTCAAGAACTCAGTATCCATAATACTCAGTTAAGCAGCCTGAAACATTTTATTTCCTTAAAGTTTTTTAATAACTATATATTTGGGAATTAAGCGATGCTACTACAGGGTAGATCTGGTGAATTTTATACTTGTATGTTTACAGATGTACATATAAAGCCAATGTACCTTTACTCGGTCCTGGTGTGTTAGAGAGGTGCATGCTCTCCAGCTTTCTTTTAAGTTACATTGTGAACCTGCAGGTTTGTATTTGTTAATGACAGGGGACTATTTTTGTCCTTCATTGCTTTGCATTTCTCATTGTAATCAGAGTCAAACTAGTTAGTTAATAGAACACCTTTTAAGTTTCACGGGCCAATTATATCTTGCTACTCTGAATGGCTTCATTGTTTCTTTCTCAGTATTAAGAGATTATAGTTGAAATGAACTACATGTGAAGGATGACAGGTAATTTATCTTCAATAGTCAGTAGGTTGGGAAACAGTGCTTTTAACAATCTGACCTCTCTCCGAGCAGTTCTCTGTATAGCATCATGCATCCCCTGCCTGTCCTAGCTTCCAGTGCTTTAGACAGCTTTGGGGAGTTAGGACACATTTCCTTATACTATAGCAGGGTCCCTGTGCACACCACAGACATACTTAACCTGTACTGTGGCTGAGGAGTGGCTCATGGCACATCCTGAGTAGCATTTGTCTGTCACAGGAAGGGGTTTGTGTGTGGCAGCCAGCCTCTCCCCTGACAGTAGGGTGTCTGCCAGTGCTGCTGTCTTTTCCCTAGGTGTAGGGATGGAAGAAAAGATTCAGCAAAGGAGGGTGGACAGATGCACATTCACACCCTGGTTATGCCTGTTTTGAAAGTATGCCAAATAAGTTAGTTTTTGTTGTTCTTGATGTTTTTGGAAGCAGAAGTTTTGTGTGTTAACTTATTTTCAGTATCTTGAACTTATTTATGATTTGCTGACATGGTGATTTATCCATCTAAAGTAGATACTTTTTTCCATTTAAAACTAATTTATAAACGGTGTACTCTTGGGAAGATACAAAATCTTTTAGAAGTTTGCTGAAATATTTTCACCATGAAGACAGACTTAGATACTCTTTTGATGCCAGTATCTGATCTAAATATTTATGATAAAATGTATTATTTTTTTAAAGAGCTTGATGAGATCTGTGATAAATGCTAGTACTTAAAACCTGGGTCCCATAAACCACAGTTGTTAGTTAGCTCACTAACTGAACACAAACTGTACAATATGTTCTAGAAGTAAGTTTTCCAGCCTTAACAGTAGTTAACATGGTAAGCCTTAGGAGATAGTCTAAGCTGGGTGTGGTGGTGCACGCCTTTAATCTCAGTACTTGCAAGGTAGAAGTAGGATCTCTGTGAGTTTAAGGCCAGCCTGTTTGTTCTACAGAGTTCTATGTAGTGAGATTCGTGCCATTAGTTTCATGGTGAGACCCTGCCTTAAAAGAAAAAGGAAGGAAGGAAGACAGACAGACAGACAGACAAACAGGTTTAGGTGAGGGTATAAAATACCGAACTCTAAATCATGCACATTTTCTCTACCATGCATCTGAGGTGTGAGAGCAACCTGGCCTGGCCCTCAGGGCAAAGTGAGTCACATTTGCAGCAAGGCCCTATGCTGTGAATGGACACCCTCCTCTTTTCTCCACAAACAGTGCAGAGAGCTGTCTGCAGTGGCAGTTTGAACAGATTCCTGGTGCCTCTCTGCTCCTGCAACACTACAGTAAGTAAAAGAACCACAGGGGGAGCTGGGAGCCTGGAAAGGAGCTCTGCGCCAGCCTTCCCTGAGGAAAGCCACCCTGCAGGTGTGTGATAGTGCTCCACAGCATTCTGAATCAGGGCTTCTCTTTAAGAAATTCCTTAGAATCAACAAAAGCTAGGATGATCCAGCCATCATGATTTTCAGAGTTCAAAGGATGTGGTTGGTCCACTGTCACTGTCACGTGAGCAGTGTCACGGTGTGTTCATGGACTGTCTGAGAAGTCTGGAGAGGACAGGACAGTGACTGGGAGGCAGGAGGCCTTCCTGAATTCCCATTCTATTCTGATGGACAGGATGTGAAGTAACACAAAACCCTACTTTACCAACTGCTAGGAGTTACTCCTAAAGATGAGCCGTGCTTCCCAGGTGTGCTCTACAAAGTTGCTAACAGCGTGGACTCGGCTCTCCTGTACAGAAAGGGAACATGTGTCACTTAATGGATTTGGTTATACAGAGCTTTTGTTGCCATCTACAGTCAGTCTGAGGTGACAGGAGCACATGGGAAAAGGATTCTCCCTGTCTTTTACAAACCCTTTAGCTGTATCTGATGACAGTATAAGATATTAATAAAGTTTTATGTTCTTTTTGAAGAGTTTTTGTGCGTGTGATTTCTTTTCTTTTCCTTTTTTTGGTGAATCCAGTTGATTGCATAAAGGACAGAAAGGCATGGGACTAAAGGGAGGGAGTTGGCAAAGTCCTGGAAGTGTCAGTGAAGCAGAAACTACAAAAAGGGGTCTCTGTACTTGGTCAGTAGTCCAGACTTGTAGGACTATCAGTATTACTGTCATTTGTTAAGTTGCAGATGGCTGAGCGCCAAATTCTTATCTCAAATATTTAAGCAGGGCTGGGGAAATAGCTCAGTGGGTAGGAGCCCTTGCAGTAAGTAAACATGAGGACCTAAGTTTGGTTTCCCAGCACCTGAATAAAAAGCTGGGCATGGTTACAAGTTCCAGTCCTGGGGGTGGAGACAGGCAGATTCCAGGAGCTCCCTGGCCAGCTAGGATAGCTAGAATAGCGTCAGGTTTAGTGAGAGACTCTATCTGAAGGTACAGAGAGCAGCAGAGAAAGAAACCCAATGTCCTGTTCTAGCCTCAGCTTGGGCACATGTACCATGCATACACACACACAAATTATGGGTAATGATGAAGTACAAGTTTGCAATTCATCACATAGTTGGCTCCTTGGAGGCAGAGAAGAGCCACTGTTACATGCCAGCACTAGTACAGTGCTTTCAAGTGGACAACCAGTCAATACCCGAAGCTTCCTGGAGTATAGGCTTCCTGTGACATCCTGAATTAATTTTTGTGGTTCTAGTGATCACAATCAGGGCCCCTGTATGCTAGGTGTGTGCTGTAGTGGTAGCTAAACCACTCGTTTTCATGCTTTGGATTTAATGTAAAATTGGAAATACTAGAAATCCGTTTGGGCAAGAGTTTTGATAAGCCTCAGCTGTGGCTGGGAAAGTGGTTCAATTGTAGAAGGCTTGTAAATAAGACTACGGCCCTGGTTAGATCTCTGACATAACACACACACCACTCACACACAACTTAGTTGAAGTTACTAGAAAAGGTCAAACTATCCTGATTTTTGCACTCTGGAAAATACGGTCCTCTGGCTAGTGCCTTTCCCCCCATTCTTACATGGCACTTGGCCACTTCATATGAATTCATGTGCTTCCTGTTTGCATTACTCTAGTAGAATGTAGGTTTTATAAGCTACAGAATCCATAGCCACATGTTCTGCCCCAAAATACCATGCCAGAGGCTGCAAAGAGACAGGCCCGGTGTGCATGTGAGGGACCCCAAGGGTCTTCATGACAACTCTGCACCTTCCCAGTTCTCCTTCACATTTTCTTCTTCTTCTTCTTCTTCTTCTTCTTCTTCTTCTTCTTCTTCTTCTTCTTCTTCATCATCATCATCATCATCATCATCATCATCATAATAATATCTAACCTGCAGTTCACCGAACCAGCTCTACCTTGCCTTGTTCTTTTTCCCTTTGGTTTGGTTTTGTTAGTTTGCTAGGCTTTCTCACAGACACCTAAGCTGGCCTGGGGGTGGGGTCTCGCTGCCTCAGCCTGCTCAGTGCTCACATTGATTTGGACTGCCCTTGATTGCACTTCTTAACCTGCTCATTCTGTTTCCAGCGGAGCTGTCTTGTCTCTTCTCTTCATTGTTCCCTTGTCTATTCAGTGTTCCTTCTTCTGGCTTCTCTGTTTAATATTAATTGCTGCTTGCTCTGTTTATTTCCCATCAATCCCCACCTTTAAATCTTAGATTCCATGAGACTGTCCGCGTTCCTTTACTCCCCAGGTTAGAAAAGCTGAAAATCACCTTTAAAAATTTATTTGCCAGGTGGAGGTGGCACATACCTTTAATCCCAGCACTTGGGAGGCAGAAGTAGGCAGATCTCTGTGAGTCTGAGGCCAGCCTGGTCTACAAGAGCTAGTTCCAGGACAGCTAAGACTGTTACACAGAGAAAACCCTATCTCAAAAAAACCAAAATATGAATGAATGAATGAATGAATGAATGAATGAATATATTAAAAATTTATCATCTATCTCTATCATCCATCTATCTGTCTATCTATCTATCTATCTATCTATCTATCTATCTATCTATCTGGATTATAGGTGTGTACCAGCACGGCAGTTAGAGTGAACTGCTGATAGAGATGATTTCAAGTGATGTTTGATGGAGTGTTTTTGAGGCACACAGATTACTACTCAGCTGCTCATGTATCTTCAAATGTCTAAAAGCTAGTGGGAATGGAATAATACAATTTTCAGAATTTTATTTTTCTAAGCTAGGGGCATATTAGATCAGAACCATTAGCCTTGGCCAAGAACTTGTTCTTAGTGCAAATTATTGGGCCCAGTTTTACAGAATCACAATATCCAAGGTTAGGTATACGCACCTCTTTTTTTAAAAAAAAAATATTTATTTATTTATTATGTTTACAATATTCCATCTGTGTGTATGCCTGCAGGCCAGAAGAGGGCACCAGACCCCATTACAGATGGTTGTGAGCCACCATGTGGTTGCTGGTAATTGAACTCAGGACCTTTGGAAGAGCAGGCAATGCTCTTAACCTCTGAGCCATCTCTCCAGCCCATATATATATGCACCTCTTAAATAAATCCTAGATAATTAAGATTTTTTTAAAAAAACATTTTTTTTAAAGAACATTTTGTTCTTTTATCTCGTGTGTGTGCGCGTACAGATATGTACATGTACCTGCAGGTCAGGGTTTTGGATACCCCTAGAGCTGGAGTTATAGGCTGTGTGAATTGTTTGAAGTTGGTGTTTCGAACACAACTCAGGTCCTCTGCAAGACCAGTAAACCTCTTAATTGTTGAGCCATCTCTCCAGCCCCTGAACATCCATCAGTGCTCCTAATCTCTTGCTAAAGTGGGATATGTAACAAACTTTAGAATTAGCACATTTGAGTTGTGCTTCATGGAGAAACACAAAATTTGAACTTTGAATTAATTCAAATAATTGTGATTCAGAACCATTGGCTAATCCAGATATATGTAGAAATACTGCTCTATTCAGTTAATTCTGTCTTCCTGTGTGTGCTATTAAGAATGGAACCCAGTACTTTGCCCATGGTAGTCACTCACTCTGCCAAGCAATATCTGTTTCTTTGTTCACCAGATAAAACTTTACCTTACTTACAGAAGTACAAGTTGAAGGAGGAATTTAAGTCATATATTAATATATGGCTTTCCCCAAATAATAATGTCTCTTTTTACTATTGCTTGTTCTCACAGAGTCTCACTATACAGTTCAGGCTGGCCTTGAACTCAGAGTCTTCCAGAGTTCTGGGATTATAGGCAGCAAATTCTTCCTGAGACCAAGCTGTTAAATCACTCCCAGTGCTATTGTGTAATCTCATTATATTCACTATACTGCCATAAGTAGGGGAGTGGGGTTTGGTTGTGGTTTTCAGATCTGAGCTGCAGTTAACACTTTTCTTCTGGTTTTGAGCTGGTATGTGAGTGTTGTAGGGCCTCAGGTGAGCTTCCCGGCCAGTTCATCATGTACCTGTCTATTGGCATAGACGCCCAAGATAGCAACACGTTTAGCGTTCTGTTTGAGGAGCTAGTCTAAATGTCTTTAGTAGCATTAAGGAAGACAGACCAACAGTTGTTAGCCCCTGTCTCTCTGCTTCCTTTTATGCTCATTAATGGAATAGAACAGTAAAATTTTAAATCAGTAGCATAAAGCAAGGTCCTTTCCAGTCATCTAATTCCCCATTGTGAACTTATAGAAAGCTAACTTCCAGTGACAGCTTACTGATTCTTAACGTGGTTTTTCTCTTCAGCAGCACTTCTAGTGATATGGTGCAGTGCCAGAGTTAAGAAGCAGTTTTTAAGTAGTACACACTTTAGAGCACACCACTTAATAACAGTATTTAGAGGAATGTCTTACAATTTAGGAAAGAATTTTCATTATGGATTTTTTTTTAGATATATTTACATCTTAGTGTTTGCCTGCTTGCATGTCCGTGTACTAAGTGCATGCCTAATGCCCAGGGGGATCAAAAGAGGGCATCTGATTTCCTGGAACTGGAGTTCTGGATGGATGTGAGGCACCATATAGTGCTGGCAAACCTGGGCCCTCTGCAAGAGCAGTATGTGCTCTTAATCACTGCACTGTCTCCAGTCCTCGTGCGGTTATACACATAGCACTTGTAGGGGTCGGTCCCCCCTCCCACCATGTGGGTCCTAGGGATTACCCAGGCCGTCGTCTGGCGGTAAGTGCTTCTGCTTACTGGTCATCCTTCCAGCCCTCTTCAAATATTTTTAACATCTTTATAGTCAGTGAAATAATCACTTTTTCAAATAAACCAGTGTGGTAGGCATGCAATTTTAGTTTTAGATGTTACTTGGCCATATGTGAAATAAAACATTTATGAGGTCTATTTTTGGCAGTTAATGACCTGAATATTCCAGTGCTTGTTATCTGTCATTTCAGAGACTTTAGTTTCTTAGAAAGCTGTAGATATTTATCAGACATCATTTGTCTAAAATATTACTTGTTTTTCTTGCTTTGATTTCTGTCTTTGTCACACTGGTGCACCGTGTGGATCTAGACCATATTTATGATACCATACTACATTACACTAAAGGTTTTTTTTTTTGGCTTTTCAAGACAGGGTTTCTCAGTAGCTTTGGAGACTGTCCTGGAACTAGCTCTTGTAGACCAGGCGGCTCGCCTCAAACTCACAGAGATCCGCCTGCCTCTGCTTCCTGAGTGCTGGGATTAAAGGCGTGCGCCACCACCGGTGGCCTGGCCTAAATTTTGAAAATATTTTTTAAAATACAGGCTTTTTTTTTTGTATGTTGCTGAAAGAAATCGTCCTTTGTATTTTATGTTGAGACCTTTGTTTCCTTCAGAAATAGATGACAATAAAAACTTAAAAATGAAATAAATGCTACCATTCAAAATCCACTATACCTTTATTGTAAGAACTGTCAATAGTTTCTTAAACCCTCAACCCTTTATTACATTGACTCTTTGTATATGGGGGGGCACTCATATGCATGTCAGAAACAACTGGTAGCGTGGGTTCTCTCTGCCTTGTATGTCAGGCATGGCCCCAGTGTCTTTACCCTTGAGCCATCTCTCTGGTCTGCTCTTTTGTATTTCATCTTCACATTTACCAGGGGAGTCCCAGTCACTTGATTAATGAGGCATTTTCTGCATAAGCACCAAAGGATGCCAAGAGCTTGTTTTTGGACCAAGTCTCCATGTGCTCAAAAATCCAAGAGAAGACAAAAGCTGTTAACGAACTCGAGTCTGAGAACCTGCACTGGGCAGTCCTTTTCAAAGGCCGTTCTCTTCACAGAGAAGATAAGAAGTGCCTGAAGTCCAGCTTCGGGTTCTTCTCAGATGCACTCTGACTAAGCAGCGCTTTTAGTTGAGAGAAGTGTTTCTTTCTTTTGCTCCCACTCCTTGAGGAGCAGATGGGTGTTGACTGTCCAGATGCAGGTGTTCTGAAACGAGAGAATGACTACGGTTCACACATTGCCAAAGGACAAACATTCTTCTGTAGAGAACTCCTCCCAGCATCTTCTACTCAGCAAACCACATGAATTTCAGCTCTCTATGGGCACTGGCTGTCCTCATCATAGTAATTCTCATTAACAACAACGAAAACCTCTTGGAATATCAGGTTCTGACACCATTTAGGAGGCGCACTGGATGGTTCTAGAAGTACCTAAGATACTCGAAAAATAAACCAGGAGGTAATGTTATCAGGCTGAGTTCTCTTCCCACCTGACTGCAGGATTCATGACAATTCTAAGTGAGAACTTTAAGAACATTCCATCCTTACAACTGAAGACCACGTCATTCCTCAACAGTGAAAGGCTTGGGAGGCACCATTCCACCATGTCTTCCCCATTAGACTGGCAGTGCCACAGACAGGCACCAGCCTAGCAGGTCTACATTCTGGTTCTTTCAGGTGGTGCCAGGTGCATATGGCACACTCCACAGACATCCACAGAAGAAGCCGTTCACCATGTAGTATGAGTGTTCCTGTGGGTGCTGGGGATCTGTGCTCAGGTCTTTGTGCTTACCGACTACCAACTGAACCCTGTCCCCAGTACCCCAGATGCAACTAAATTGTTTTAAATATGCCACATTTTCTTTTATCCATATTTACACAAAAAGTGACATTTTCTGTTGAATTCTTATACAAATACTGACTAAAATCAATAATACACATAAAAGTAGACTTGACATTTTAACTCAGTATCATAAACTTTGAACCCAATAGAAATTTCAAACATTGAACAGAAATAACTCAGTCCTTGCTAGATTTTGTTGTTTATGCTCAAGATATTTCAGTTTCTTTTGTAAGAAAATACTCTAAATTCTTCCCACAGTATCTTTGGAGTGGCATTTAAGTTTATGACTGCACAGTGACAGTACTGAGGAGTCCTAGAATGAGAACTCCCATCTCTGGCAAATCTCCATTCAGTTAGATTCCAACGAGCATTTGTGACAAAGCAAAGTGGTACAGTTTGGAGACATGGTGTGAGGGCTTCAGGTTTGGTGGCACAGAGTAAGCCAAGGACACAATGGGCAGGCAGGAGCGGGGCTGGGAAGCCATGATCACGTATTTGACCCATGCCACAGAGTCAGGGTTAAATGCTACTGACAGAGCTGCATGTTAGCCAGGTCTTCATCAGGAGATCACTGCCATAGTCCTCATAAAAAGTCACCGAGGACAGCAGCAGTAGGAAAGAACAGGTAGAAACTGGTAATAAAGACTAAGGTTAAACCAAAAAAAAAAAAAAAAAAAAAGAGCCAGGCAGTGTTGGCACACACCTTTAATCCCAGCACTCGGGAGGCAGAGGCAGATGGGTTTCTGTGACTTTGAGGCCAGCCTGGTCTACACTAGTTCCAGGACAGGTTCCAAAGCCACAGAGAAACCTTGTCTTGAAAAAAAAAAAAAACAAAACAAAACAAAAAAAAAGACTAAGGTGTAGAAGCTAGTGATCCTCCTGCCATTTTAATGAGTTTGTAAAGGAGGGCATTTTGTCCAGAGTTAAACAGGAGGGAAGAAAGCCTTGGTAAAGTTGGCTGTGGGTGTATGTCAGGTGCTAAGAGAAACGACATAGAAGTCACATGCACCGACTTAAGAGTTGAGGATTAGAAACCAAAGGCTCCTGAAGAAAATGTGCCAAGAAGCTGGGCGGTGGTGGCACACACCTTTAATCCCAGCACTCAGGAGGCAGAGGCAGGTGGATCTCTGTGAGTTCGAGGCCAGCCTGGTCTACAAAGTGAATTCCAGGACAGGTTCCAAATCAACAGAGAAACCCTGTCTCAAAAAACAAACAACAACAAAAGAAAATGTGCCAAGGCCTGTACTGTAATACACGGAATACTCAAGAGTGCATATTAAGTGATATTTCATACTTCATAGCAGCTAACAAATTAAGGTACCTGAAAGTCAAAGAGGGGCTTTTGCCTTTGGAATCAGACATCTTATGACTTGGGTGCGTGAAGCCTGGGGTATTTCTCTTTGGTGTTTTCAGGTTGGCTTTGTTTGTAGCAGTGGTTGCGTTGCTCTTCAGTGCTGACAGGAAGCTTCTACTCTTGCCATGGTGTTTCACTGTTTTGTTGCATGTTCTACAGGTAACCAGCTACCACAAAAAGAAGTTGGTGCCATGAGTTCTCTGGTAATGTAACTCAGTAAACCTCGGGTATCCTCAGGTTCTATGTCAGTATGACAGAAGCAAGTTAGCGCAGAGGCTACCCCCAGTCTACCAGGAGGAATCTGACAAGACAGATTAAAAACAACAGAATTGCTAATAAGAGGGTATAGGCTAAATAGTTATATTTAAAATGCTATACAAAGAACTATAGGCAACTAAGAAATGTGGAAAGCAGGAGGAATAGTCTTCCCCAGGGAAGAGCGCACCAACTGGCTATCTAATACTAAATGCCCAGTCTTGAAAATGTACATACACATAGCAGGTTATATTTAGGAATATATATGTACATACATATATGCATGTAACAAACAAAAAAGAGTCCATGAATTTGAAAGAGCAATAGGTACATGGGAGGTATGGAAGGAGGAAAGGGAAGGGGGAAATGGTTTATCTCAAAATAAAATAATTTTAAAAAATATAATAAGCTGTACTTCTTCAACATGAAACTGGTTTGTGTGGGAACTGGGTTTTGGAGACCAGACACTAACATTTGGCTAGTCTTTGTAACAGCAGTAAAGATTGACTATTTCCTTTATGGTATATTTTAGATTTATTTTCCCAATGAAACATAGCAGATCGCTGACATTTTAAGTAGTGCCTTAAGATCCATAGTGATTCTGTAAATGTTGGTATGACTGCAAAAACCTTTCAGTTTCCATCATTGCTTCTAGAAGTTAACTCTCTTATAGGGTTCAGATTTAATATTTGTTTTGTTTTATATATATGGATGTTTGCCCATACAAATATATGTGTACCATGTACATGACTGGTCCCATGAAGAAGCCAAAAAATGGTACAAAAGGTTGTGTTGGAATGGCTGCTGGGAACTAACAAGAGCACATGTTTTTAGCTGCTGAGCCATCTCTCCAGCCCCAGTAGGATGTATTGTTAAGACATGGTCCACTTGGTACTTAAATGCCTTTTCTATATAGCTCATGACTCAGTAGAATGTAAATCTGAGGTACTCAGATTTCAAACACAAAGATGCAAATGAAGATCTGTGTGGTGGTTTGAGTGAGAACAGCCCCATAGGCTCACATGCTTGAAATCCAGTTGGTGTAACTGTTTGGGAAGGATTAGGATGTTAGCCTTGCTGGAGGAAGTGTTACTGGGGGTGGGCTTTGAAGTTTCAAAAGACGGTGACTCCCAGTGTCTCTCTCTGCCTCAAGGTTGTGAATCAAGATGTGAGCCCTCAGCTGTTCCTTCATTCGGCCACTATGGAGTCTAGTCCTGGAACCGTAAGCCTAATTAAACACTTTCTTTTATAAATTGCCTTGGTCGTGGTGTTTTATCACAGCAGTAGAAGTGTGACTATAGCAATTTGCATAAAGGCCTGCTGCCTCATAGTTTTTGGGAAAAGATTGCATACAGATTAAGTAAATTAGCTAAACATCCTGAGCCTTTCTAGTGATCGCTAACTAAAACTTCAGCAAAGTAAAACGTCAGAAGACTTACCTTCCTATAGGAACATTTTCCAAATATGTTGCAGCGATGTTTTCTAACAATTTCCTGTGGCAGGAAGCTCATAGGTGAGATCAGCCTAAGCCACACAGTGGGTTTAAGGCCAGTTTTGGCTGCATAGCAAGACCCTGTCTTAGGCCAGACCTAAGCTATAGTAATATCCAGTGCCTACATGTACTTGAGTAGGCTGATAATGTTCACACAGAGCATGCAGGATATAAAACATATCTGATGTGGGCTTCATCTTGTAAGCCCTAGGGAATTTTTGTTGTATTCCTGATACTAAACACTTTGCCAGGTGGACAAGTACTACATGCTGACATTGGACTGTACACAAGGGTATACACAAGGGTAGTGTCGCCAAAGGAAGGATTAAGTGACGCCCAATCCTGTGAGTTACACTGGAAAACAGTGACGTGAGCACAGGTAAGCTCGTCCGTCACTTGTTTTCAGGCAGTTATCAAAAATAAAAATAAACCGGGCAGTGGAGGCTGAGGCAGGCGGATCTCTGGATCTCTGTGAGTTCAAGGCCAGCCTGTTCTAGAAGAGCTAGTTCCAGGACAGGAACCAAAAGCTACGAAGAAACCCTGTCTCGAAAATCCAAAAAAAAAAAAAAAAATTAAAAAAAAAATGAATAAAAAAATAAACTAGCTGGTGTAGTGGCACACACCTTTTACAATGGCTAGGGCTACATAAGAGAACCCTATCTCTAAATAATAAAAGTAAACTGTGCCCTTGGTGAACTGCTGTTACAGAAACACTGTGTGTGTGTGTGTGCCCTTAACAGTCCAGATGCTGGCAGGCTGATTTCTGACCTAAGGGATGGAAGACAAAATAAAACCACATTTTTATGTCCTAGAGCTGCAACCTTACCAGAACACTTGTGGAGTCTTTGTACTTTCTCAACAGCTTTGCTTCTTTAAAACTGAGTGTATAATTTCTTGCTTCTCGATTAAGGAGTTTCTGTATCTTGGGTGTCATTTTGGCCTTGGGTTTGAGGCGCACTCTAGAGTTATCCAGAACCAACAACTGGAAGCAGTGTGGACATGTTTCTTCAAAAGTGCTGTTTTCCTCTACAATTACATAAACCAAATTCACAAGTGAGCATGTTTGTTACCTCAAACAAATGGCATCATAAATGGGAAAAAGATAAATATACCCATGATATCAACAGATACAGTCTCTTGAAGCAAACTCCAGATACGAAAATTCATAAAAGCAAACTGGCAATGATGTACTTTACAACATTCTCTAATTCCCTCCATCTACTCCTTCAGCAACGTACAGGCAGGCCGCTGGCCTTTACTACTTTGCTCATTTGTTGCTTCGTTATCAATACATTTACCACACTTAAACTGCACAAGGGTTTTTCCTCCCTCCCTTTCATATTAGTACAATCAGTATTTTTTTGGGTACTGTGAACAATGGACAACCAGATGACAAACAACATCAAAGTGCTGGGCCAGGGGGTGGGGCTAAGGGAGGGGATCAGAGGTTGGTCCTGTTATTGTAACTAAAGAAGGTGGTTTGCAGAGAGAAATGACAGCAGGCAGTAAGTAGAGAGTTCCAGGCATGCTAAGGCATTCGGGGAAGCCCTGGAATACAACAGCAAGCAGGTCTGGTGTGGCTGAAGTCAAGTGAACAGATGAAGTATGTCAGAAAGGTTATTTGGCATGCTGGCTTAGAAACAGGCTGCAGGAATGCAGTTAGTAGCAATTCAGGAGAGGAACAGTAATTGTTTGGACCAGGTTGGAAGCAATGGATGTAAAAATGGGGAGATATTTTAAAGCCAATGTGATTTGCTGACACAAGAAGGACCAAGGAGAGATGTTAGGGAGTAAAGAATGGCTTCACAGTAAGGACAGGATCAGTTTACTCCGGTGGGAAGAACTAGTCATTTAAAAAAAAAAAAAAACTAGGAAGGCCGTGAGATCATGAGTGTACAATCTGGAGGAGATATCTAGGCTGGAATCAGGAATGTCTCAGTATACTGTACCCAACCCTAAGAATGAATGAGAAACTGTCATCTAAGAACTGAGTTCTAGGGACACAGTATTTGGATCTTGGAAGATTAGGAGAACCAACAAAGTATACTCAAATACAGGAGCAAGAAGTCGATTCCTGGAAGACCGGTGGGAACTCCTGAAACATCAGTGTGCTATTGAGATGGTTCTGTGGGTCACGGCACAGAGTTCCATCTCCAGGAACCCCTCTAGCAAGACAGAGTGTATTCCCAAAGCTCTCTGACTTCTGAACGTTCATGCTCTTGGAAACACAAACACACAATGTGTGGGCTAGAGAGATGGCTCTTCCAAAGAACGCAGGTTCGATTCCCAGCACCCACTTTACACAGCTCACACTTGCCGGTAACTCCAGTTCTAGGGGATTCACCCTCCTCTTCTGGTCACCAGGCTCCCAAGTGGTACAGACATAGGGCAAAATTTGCACACTTAATAGAATAAAATTTTAAAATAAAAACTGATCAAGGGACTGGAGCGTTAGGAGTATTTGCCGTTCTAGCAGAAGACTCAGGTTTAATTCCCAGCACCCACGGAGAAGCTCACAACCAGCTGTAACTTCCAGTGGATCTGACGCCCTCTTCTGGTTCCTGCCACACCAGGCACGCACGTGGTGCCCTGATATACAGGCAGGCAAAGCACAAAAACACATTTTAAAAAAAGCCTGACCAATGTGTCAAATGGTAAGGTTTAAGACATATTAAAGAATTTGGAACTTAGGTTTTTCGTGCAACTGAGAAACCTAGGCCTTTTTCTATGAGACAAGTCGATCGGCCTTCTCTTTTGGATCACTGGAATGTCGGAATGGCGCAGAGCTGGGGGACACGGGCCGAAGCCGCAGCAGCCGGCGTTCTCCTACCGTGTGTCGAATTGTAGGCCCAGCTGCAAAAGAGATCAAGGAGTGAGGCCGGGACACCGTGGCCGCCCTCCCGCCCGCCCGCCCTCCGTCCCTCTCCTACAGGAGGTAGCGGGCCTGGCCAGGGCAGCTTTCCACCAGGCCGCGAGCCGCCGCTTCAAGGTAATGCTTCTGCCGCATAGCTAGCGCGCCCGGCCGCCGAGACGCCGCGAAAGACCACGCCGGAAGTCAGCTTTCGTGTGTAACCATTGTGGGCCTCCGTATTCAAACTCCCTCCGGAAACACGCACTCGCGATTTTGAAGTTCCTATCTTCTCGGTTTCACGCCGGGAGTTCGTCCTCTGGTTTTGACGTGGTCCCCAGAAACATCCAAAGTGAAGTTCTTGTGCCCGGAATGGAACAGGCTCCCGAGCCCAAGGCTCCACTAATCTCACTGACTTCATTCTTGTTTTGCTTCTTCTAACCATCAAGTCAAGATCTGGGTAATTTAACAACATTAATCAGTTAACTGCCATCCAGGTGGTTTTCTTTACTCTTCTAGTTTGTCCTCCCTCCCTCCCTCCCTCCCCCTCTCTCTGATTTATATATTATGTGTATGGGTGTTTGCCTGCGTGTATGTATGTGCATCTCTTGTGTGCTGTACCTGGGGAAGTCAGAAGGTATCCCATCCCTTAGAACTGGAGCTAGAGCTGCCACGTGGTTGCTGGGAAAAAAAAAACCCGGTCCCCCTGCAAGAACAATTAGTGCTCTTAAATGCTAATCCAGCATATGCCCTTAATGGCCAAGACATTTCTCCAGCCCTAGTTTGATTTATTTCACGCACATTTTTTTATGAGTTCACTTTACTAATTTAATTTTTTGAGACAGAGTCTTTCTTCATAGCTCTGGGTGTCCTGGAACTCACTATGTAGACCAGGATGGCCTCCAACTCTCATATTTGCTTGCCTCCTGAGTGCTGGGATTAAAGGCAAGCACCACCACGCCAGCCTGGCATGCATATTCTTTAACTGATATCAAGTGTGACTTTTTTTCTTAAGTGTAAAGTAAAACATCTGATTTTTTTTTTCAAGATGAACAGCAAGTTAGCAAGTTATGTTAAGGCCTTTCTTCATAGACCCCGGCCTTTTCTCATTTGAAATATAATGGAGAACAGTTTGTAATGAGCATGACTGCTAGGCGCTTTTCTTAACACGCTAACATGTATTGTTAACTTATTGATCTTCATAACAAACCCAGAGCATAAATGCAATGCCACTTCATCTTAAAGAAATAGTTTTTTTCCTTTCTTGAGGTAGAGACATACCTTGTAGTCCAGGGTGTCCTCAGACTCACTCAGTAGTCCAGGCTCTTCTTTATCTTACCCTACTTTTTGCCTCAGCCGACTGAGTCCCAAGATGACAAGTGTGAGCCACCACACCACATCTGTTTCCAGACTGTGGTCCCTTACACCAGCCTGTAAGGCAGAAAAGAAGGGAGAATCACACCTCCTCTACTTTCCATCATCCTGTCCTTCCCCTGCCTCTTTCCTCTCTGAGACCACTCTCCTGTATTCAAATGCCTGCTCGGCAGCTCTGCTTGACTTCTCACCTGTTTTCTCAGTGGCAGAGTCGCTAAAATAACTGTCCTGATTGTCCACACAGATCTGCCCAGGTGTCCAGCATACTTCCCCCCTCGGATCCTGACCCCCAGCCCCTGATTCCTCTTTCCACCACTTCCCACTGCTCTGCTCTCAGGTCAACAGCACCCTCCAGGAGCCACAAACCATGACTTTGCACCACCAGGTCCAGCATTTCCTGAGAGGGTTATCTCACACATTATGAGTCCAGGAAGAGATAAAACCCAAAAATCAAAATATGGCTTCTCCAGAAATGTCCTTGGTTCTCTAGCCATAAATGCCAGAAGGGAACTCTAGTTTTCCTTCTTCTTCTTTTATTGTTTTTTTATTTTAATTTGTTTTGTTTATTTTTCGAGACAGGGTTTCTCTGTGTAGCCCCGAATGTCCTGGAACTCGCTTTGTAGACCAGCAGCTCATAACCACCTGTAACTCAAGATTCAGGGGATCTGTTGACCTCTTCTGGACTCTTTGGTCACCAGGCATGCTTGTAGTGCACAGACAAATGTAGGCAAAACACCCCTACATACATATACAACAAAATAAATAAATCTTTAAAATAAGATGGAGAAATGACTCTAAAAATGAATTGCATTTTCTTAATGTGGCTTATAGAACAAAACACAGTACAACAGAATAATCCGTTTACAAGTAGTGCGCATTTCCAAAGCCTGTAGTGGATGGAAGACAACCCCCCCCCCCTCCAGGTGAGCGGCCAGCAGGGAAGCAAACCTTTCTGCATTTCTTCGCTCGCTTGCAGTTCCTGACAGTCACCAGCAGAGGGAAAAATAGTTTAGTTTCGCGTGGGTCCCCGCGAGGCGCAAATTCTCTTACCGAGGAGAAGCAACCAAGAGCACCAGGGAGAGCCCGGTCTGTGGGCGGGTAAGCTCGGACCGCTCAGGCTCCGCCAGGTCGGTGCACAGACTCTCGGCAACTCCCCTCAAAAGAGCTACGAGGGATAACTTGGTTGGGACTCCCTGCTGACCGCCCAGCCCCTGACACTGCTGCCTAGCAAAGCATTCTCTGGAGCTGGCGGACCCTGAAGGCGAGTCCGAGTGTAATCCTGAGGGACGGAGCTCAGGTCCTACTGGGATCCCGGTATCCCGGCCGAGTGCGAACCAGGTAGGTAAGCATCCTCTGGGGTACGAGCGCGATCCCGGCGAGAATCCTCCGTGGTTCGAGCGCGATCCCGGCGATCCCGGGCCAGCTTCACCGCGCATCCCCGGAGCCCAGTCCATTCGCCCCAAGTCGTGGCCAGGGCCGGGCGGAGGACGTGGGCAGTCCGAATGCTGAAGGATCCGGGCGGCAGCCCTGGGCATAGATCACGGAAAGGACCCTTCTGCCAAGGAGATGTGGTATAAACGGTAAAAAACAGTCACGCTAGTACGCGGGTCAGTGAGGGGGCTGGAGAACCGCTATTTATTAGAACGGGTGTGAAGAATTACGTCGAGGACCTCGGCTTGGACTGTGGTGAGCAGTGCGAAGCCTGGATCAGTGAGCTATGGAAAGGGAGACACGGACCTGCTCCGGGGACGTTTCCAGACACAGTGGATGGAAGCAGAAACAGACGGAGAGATTGCACGGGAAGAGAACGTGCAGCGGGGTGGGAGGTTAGCCCGGGGAACAGCCCGACAGCGGCCGGCTAGACCTGCAGCTCCGCCGACGCGGGACGGGAGAGCGGGAGTCCGCGCAGGTCCGAGTCCACCTGTTACCACCGACGCTGTAAGCCGGTCACCCGGCCCAGGGAGCAGGAGGCCCGCACGCAGGCAACAGGTTTGCTCGGGGCGGAACCGCAAGGGAAGACACGAAGCTCTACAGGGATGTGGAGGTCGGCTGCCAGGTGCTGTGTTTTTCTGTGCCCCGGGATATTTCTGAAAAGCCATTAATGTTAAAAATTAGACTGCAGGGCCCCAAGATCTTGTCAACCCGCACGGTGAATAATTTGTTTACACGATGTCTCATAATACCGTGTGCAGCAGCCGTGCCTCTCTAATTATATTTAAATATATTCAGAAAGGGATCGTTTGGTTTTAGATAGCTAACCGCTCTTTGAAAATAGATGGGGGGCAATAAACTATTTCAATAACTTGAAATATATGCAAAAGTTTTGCCAACCTCTACACGAAAACGAGTGAAATGATAGCAGAGGCAAGTTCAGCCACCGCGAAAGAAATCGGTTCTGCTGGGCAGCCATCCTTCCCCGGTGTCGCTGCTGGAGGCTAGAGGGTCCTGGCAGACCCCTCCTGTGTGCTCCACTCTCATCTGCAGTCCCCAGCTTGCTTCCCTAGCTAGACTTGGCGGCTGTGGGGTCCCCTGGGCACACCTGTTCTTGCTTCAGACATTTGCCGGTTGTGTGAATTCGGAAGAAGTGAAGTTTCTCCGATGGTGGCAGTAGAGATCAGCGAAGAGAGGGGGTGGTTGACAGCGAGGGAGCCGTGGGAGGCGGGAGTGTGGGTTTGATTACCCGGGTTGAACTTTCCCTGCTGTTTCCCCCTGAGTGCCATGCCAGGAACGGGCTCCGGGCTCCGAAGCTCCCTCCGTTGTGGTAGCCAGGCTGTTAAGGAGTCTCTCCTCCAGCAGCGGGTATACGAAAGAATAGGACCGGCCTAGCATCTTCTCCTACAAACCCAGGGTTCCCCAAACCTCACCACCAAACCTTTGGCTTGAATAAAAATTCACAGTTACTCAGGATTAGAGCGAATGTATTTTATAATCATCACTCACGTGGTCCAGGTTAGCCTTGAACTTGCTCTGAGCCCGAGGATGACCTTGTACTTAGGAGTGTGTGGTGCCTGTGTGTACACCTGTACGGGTTCATCAGCCTGCACATCTGAAGGCCAGAGGCTGAGGTCAGAATGTCTTGCCCAATCGCTTCTATACCTTATTTTACTGTAAAAATATTTTTTATGCGCATGGGTGTTTTGCGGACATGTTTATCTGTGCACTACATCATGCCTGGTGCCCAGGGAGTACAGACAGTTGTGAGCTGCTGTGTGGTGCTGGAAGGTCACAGCTGGGTCCTCTGAAAGAGCAGTGGGGGCTCTAAACCAGGCGGCGCGGTCACTTTAGTTTTGAATCTCTTAGTGTTTTATCTTAGCTAGGTGGCCAGTAAGTTGGGGACCCACCTGTCCTGTCCCCATGCCACACACTCGGCATTTTTTTGGTACAAACTGCAGCAGTCGGTTTTTGCCGGTGACAGGATCCAAACTCAGATCCTGTTTGCGCACCAGTCACTCCTGGCTAAGCCGTCTCTCCAGCTCATCTGGTTTTGGAAACAGGGTCTCTTGTAGCTCAGGCTAGGCCTCACATTCTACATGTTGCTGAGGAGGGTGGTTTGACGATCCTGATCCTCCCGCCTCTACCTCCTGAGGGCACCACGCCCAATTTTATGTGGTGCCAGGGATCAAGACTGGGGCTTCTTGGGAGCTAAGCAAGCACTGCACCACCTGGTCAGCCTCTGTACCTAGAGACAGATTTTTAGACTAGGAAATGCTGCATCTGTGATTCCTTCCCTTAGCTGTCCACGTGCAGCTGAGCACACTGTCTTTTGTATAATGGAGAAACCAAATAAGCTTTGTGCGTGTCAGGTAGCTCTGACACGCTACCTGGTTGTACCTGGTGGGACAGATCC